TGCTATGCTGTGGGTCGCCCACATATAGGGAGTCAGTTAATTCCCATAACAACCCTGTAAAGTAGATACGGTTATTGCCCCCATTTTATAGATGAGGAAATTAAGGCTCAGAGTGGTTAAGTAACTTGTCCCAGGTCGCAGACCATGACCTACATCTGAGCTGAGAGTCAGTCTACACGCAGCCAGGTAGGTAAGTGGGTAGATGGAGAGCTGGACCAGGTTGGATCGTAGGTGATATTTGTACTGACACACTCGGAAAGCACTGACCACGGTCCCTATTTGCCCTTTCCCAGCAGGAGCTGAGCTGAAAAGTAGGGCTCACCTACCCTCTCTTGTGTCTGTTTCATTGCCCTGGAACATCAGCCCCAGTCCCAGTGGTTTGGGCTGGGGAGAATTTTTCCAGTTTTAAATGTACTCCACGTGTGTTGAGCCCCATCTGTATGTCAGACCCTGTGCTAGGAGAAGGGGCAGGATACCAAGCTGCCAAGTTGAACAGGACCTGCCTGGGAGCACAGAGGAGGAGGTGCCTTTGAGTGCCTGATCATCTAGGGAGGGGCGTTTTGAACTGGGCCTCAGAGGATGTATATGAGTTCACCATTTCAGGCCTACTAGCCTCAATGTCCTTTGGGGGAGTTCACTGTGGCAGCAACAGATCTCTTTTGGGACAGTGGCTGGAGGCGAAGACAAGACCTGCCTGTGCAGGGCCTTATAAGCGTGCTGAGGTGCTGGACCAGGTGTTTCTAAGAAGGAGTATAAATGCGATCGGTTTGCACTCGAGAATGGCCTGTGGTTCTGTGGATTGAAGGGGGACGAGGCCAGAGGGGAGACGGGGCCCAGGGAAGGATAATTGGCCCGAACTGGTGCAGTGGTGGGGGGCTGGAAGGAAAAGGGGGATCCAACAGCCTCTTTGGAGTTACTTTCTGGGACAGGATGACGAATCGTATTGTAGGGTAAGGAGAGGGGAGAAGGGGTTACGGGGAGGAGCATGCTGGTCCCAGGATGCAAGGCAGGACTGAGGAGATGGCCTCTGGCCTCAATTCCCAGCAACAGCCTTTAGCCTCTTGCTTTCTGAGGGATCCTGTGCCCTGGTTTCTGTGTTGTTTATCTGTAGCTACTTAACACATCATCCCCCGACTTAGCAATTTACAATAAATACGCAATTATTATGTCACAGAGTTTCTGAGGGTCAGGGGTTCCCGTGTGACTTAGCTGGGTGGTTTGGACCCTGGGTCCCTCATGAAGCTGCGGCCAGGGCGGTAGTCATCTGAGGGCCTGACAGACAGGGCCTGGAGGATCCAGTTGCCAGGTGGCCCGGGCCTGTGCCTGACAAACGGGCTCAGGCCGGTGGCAGGGGGCTGCGGCCGTTCCTCGCATGGCCCTCTCTATAGCGTCTCGTGGCATCGGGACTCGCTTCTGCCCCAGCAAGTGATCCAAGAGACCAGGGATGAAGCCACAGTGCCTTTGATGACTGAGCCCCAGAAGTCACACAGCAGCCTTTCGATGATATTCATTTGGGTGTATAAAGCAGCCCTGTTCGTTGTGGGAGAGGGTTCCGGGAGGTGCCATTGATCTGGGAAGTGAGAAGCCAGCAGAATGTCATGCTCAAGTTTCAAATTACAGCAGAGGGGATGTGCAAGTCAGAGTAGGAAATACTGCCCCGGGTGTGTGGGGGGTTGCTGAGAAGGGGTGACTAAGATTGTGAGCGCACAGTCCCTGGAGGGCACTCAGGGCAAGAGGGCCTCCTTGGGGAGTGGTGGGCAGGTGCTCCTAAGGTGTCAAAAGCTCTCAGCAGAGCTGCTTGGAACCTGCCACTTGAGTTGAGTTTGCCGAGCTTTTGTATTCTGGGCTCTGGGGGGTTGGGTGAGGTCTTCCCTTGCTCCCCACTGTAGAGCTTTCAAGGGCAAGTTCTCTGCATTCCAGCACGCAGGGAGCCCTCAGAACATTGTACTGCAGTTGCCCGATGATTTCTCCATCTGCCCTCCATTCAAGGGCATTTGTGGAGTGTCTGCCCACTGTGTGATAGGCAGGGCTGCCCTGTATGGTCATGCAGGCTGCTCACTGCCAAGGGCGCCTACCCGAGGGAGCCCTGGAAGCAGCCACTCTTTGCTCTCCAAACCACACACTCAGGTACAGAGTGGGGTCTGCCTGGTGAGAAGGCACCTCCTTGCCATTTCCACAAAGATACTCTACTCAGCTGTGTGTCCAAGGGGTTGGTTTGCTCAGAGGGTAAGCCTTTTTCTAATTTGCACAAAGCTGCTGTTTGCTGTTGTGGGCTGGAGCAGATACCGTTCTAGCTACTGGGGATATGGTGTGAATGAGACAGGCATGCTCCTTGTCCTGGTGAGTCTAGTGTAGGGAGAGGCACTATTCATAAATGAGCAGGAATTGCCCACGTTGACTTCAGACTGTGAACTGTATTAAGAAGGAAATTATCAGGGTACCACTGAGAAAGAATATTGGAAGTACGTAATGTAATTTGGGTGGTCAGGAAAAGCCTCTTTGGGGAGATAGATGGCTTGCGGTGGATTCTAGAAGTAGGAGAAGGATTTGGCTTGGGGAACAATAGACGGCTGGGGTGAGGGAGAGTGTTCCAGGCAGCCAGAACAGCAAGTGCAAAGGCCCTGAGGCAGGCAAGAGTTTGGTGCATTTTGTGAACTGTCAGGTATGCAGTATGATACTGGAGGAAGATGGAATCCTGGCTGTTGGTATCTAGACTGGGATCAGGAGGCCCAGATTGGATAACTTAGGGATCCATTTTAACGGATAGTTAAATATTGGGGGCAGAGTATGGCTCAGGGAAAGGCTGAGAGTGGGGTGGGAATGATTAAATGGGGGTGTACATAGATTCCAGGGGAGATCTTCAGTCAGGTCCAACTCATCAATCATTTGTTAAACCTCTACTGTATACCAGGCACTGTGTAGTGTGTGTGTGTGTGTGTGTGTGTATGTGTGTGTGTATGTGTGTGTGTGAGAGAGAAAGAGAGAGAGAGGGAGGGAGGGAGAAAGAGAGAGAGAGAGAGAGAGAGAGAGAGAGAGAGAGAGAGAGAGAGAGAGATCCTTCCTTTGAAGGAGCCCACAGCTGTAGGAACCAAGGAGGTGATGGGAAACATGCTCTCTCTGGTGATACCTGCAAGGAGGTAGGGAACAGTGAGGAAGGCCTCCAGATGAGGGGCCCGGGACTTTTTCCTGAAGGCCTGGGATTTGATTAGCAGAGGAAGGGGAAAGCTCCTTGAGGCTGGAGGTAGTGGCCCAGTGGGGGGCCGGTCTGGCTGGAAAGGCCTTCAGAGCTCAGGCCACACTCAGCCTGAGGCTTTCTCAATTCCATATTCTGAGGCCAGAAAAGAAGGCGTGGGGGTGGGGCTGGGGAGTCTGAAGGGGAGTTGCCACGCTGGGGTAGTGAGAGTGGGGAGACAGAGAAGCAGAAAGGCTAGCAGATGGGCATGACTTGTTTTGGGTGGCCAGGGGTGGATACGTCTTGGTGTGGCCAGGGGCGGAGAAGTCCCTGAGCTGAGCTGGGTGGCTGGTGGGGTCAGGAAAGCCTTGTTCAGCAGCAGCTGAGTCACACGCCTGAGCTGGGGCCAGGACTAGATTCTGGGAGAACAAGGTCCCAGGCGAGGAGGGCCAATAGCCAAGGTTGAATCCTAGGCTCCACCCATTGTGCCTCTGGACTTCCACTCCCACAGACCAATCAGAAGCCTTGGTATGGAGAGCCCCAGAGCCTCTTTTGGCAACTCTGGGCCTTCCTCTGTGCCTCAGTCTCCCCTTTTGCATTCTGCTGAGAATCAAGTTGGCTCAAAGACAGAAAAGGGTTGGAGGAACTGTGGATCCAAGAGGTCAGGGCAGTTGGCTGTGGCTACCAAGGATTTGGGGTTGCAGCAGCTCCCCTGCCTCCCCGACCCCTGTTCTCTAACCAGTGCTGCTAACCCACTGTCTCAGCAGGTCGTGGGTAGCAAATAAGGTCAAGTCCGTGTAGGAGCTCAGCTCAGGAGACCCCTCACTCCATCTGTGGGACTTGGTGGGACGGGACCAGCAAACCCCAGGGTGGAGGGCCCTGTGGGTGGGGCAGGCAGGGCTGGGACATTCCAGACGGAGGGAACCCCAGAGGAAATTTGATTCCAGCTTCTGGTAGTGGGAGGGCAGAATTAAGTCCTTTGTGTGTGTGTGTGTGTGTGTGTGTGTATGTGTATGTTTCAAATGATGGACAAGAAGTTTGTGAGCCTGTATGAGCATCTGTCCGTGTGTCTGTGTCTACACGTCCGTGTCAGGCTGTGTGTTGGTGTCCCTGAGTCAGAGGTTTCCCTTGGGCATGAGTGTGAGTGTGTGTGAGGCTATATGTGTACATATGGTTATGTTTGCACGTCTGGCTGAGTGTATGGGTATAAGTGGTTATGGGTGAGTCTATGTGTGTATGTGTAAATGCGAATGTGTGTGTGCACCGGTCTTCTCCTGGACTGTAAATCGGGTCCGTGTGTCCCTCTCTAGGGGAGACTGAGTGCGATTGTGGTTCCTGGGGTGCCGACTGCCTTCCTGGCGCGCGTGCACACACGTGTGTGTGTGTGTGTGTGTGTGTGTGTGTGTGTAAGGGGAGAAGGCCCCCGTTATTCCTTGGCGCGGCTGGCATGGGGCCTGGGTCCGGGCCACCTCTGCCCCTGGCAGGGATCCAGCGGGGGAGTCTGTCCCCCCCTCCCCTCCTCCTGTTTCTCCCACCTTCGCAGGCCTGCCCCAGGGGCTCTGGTGATGGGGGCTCGGTGCCTCCCCAGCCGGAGGGTCCGCAGTCCCCGGCATTCCCACCCCGCGGGCCCGGGGGAGCTGCGGCAGCGGCCCCCCTCCGCCGCCTCCTCCCTCCGTCCCTCCTTCCCTCCTTCCCTCCGTCCCTCCGTCCCTCCTTCCCTCCTTCCCTCCCAAGCGCGGAGTGCGGGCGGGGGTGGGAGGAGATTCGCCGGAGTTTCCATTTCATACCTCGCGGCTAAACTTTCTTTCTGTGTCTCGCCCTCTCGCAGTCTGCAGCTTCTCCTGTCATCGGAAATGCCAGGCCAAGGTAAGGGGCCGCGGGCCGCCTGGCTCTGCGGGGGGCTCGGGGATGGGACTGGTTCGGGTTCTGGGACGGGAGCGGGGGGCACCGGGGGCGCCGGGGGCGCCGGCGGGCCGGGGGCGGTGCGCGGGTTGTCCCCTGCCCCGCTCTTTGTTTATGCTAAGCTTTGGGGCCGGGAGCGGCCCGGGTCAAGGTGAAGGCGAGGGCCGGGACTGGGGGGAGGGG